ACAAAGTATGAAAACTTCATGGAAGAGTAGTGAAGTAAAAGCAACGAGCAAAATCAAAAATTCAGTTTCCACAAAAGAGAAGTGGAACGAATTTTTCAACAAAGCATGAAGCCTTGATGAAAGAGTAATAAAGTCACGCAAATTCAGCCTTCACGGAAGAGTAGTGAAGCGAATCATTTGCAAAGTCAAGCCTAAGCCTTCACAGAAGAGTAGTGAAGCAGGAGCATGATCAGATCAAGATTCGATCTCTACGAAAGAGTAGTGGAACAAATTCACAGCAAAGCAAGAAGTTCACTCGACGAAAATTTGTCTTTTTATCTTTGCTTTATTCTTGTTTACACAAAAATAAGCAAAGAGGGGCAGTTGCTGACAGTCATTTTCGTCCGAGTGAAGTTTATTATATAGTTATTATATATAATAATAATAATATATTATAAATATTATTATTTATATAGCCCAAAGACCCATTTACAAGTTTAGAGGCCCAATTGATAATTTGGGAGCCCGGTTACAAAGCAGGCTCACATGCCCATATTACATCCAGGCCCAATAACCAGTTCAGGCCCAGATCCAGCAAGCCCACGAGAGAAGCTCGAGCAACCCTAGGGTTTTCTGCTCATCATCTTCAGCCGCCAACACGCCATAGTCGCACGATCAAAGACAGATCCAAGGGTCACCAGTTCATCCAGCAAAAACCCTAAGGTATCATTGTAACCCTAGGGCCTATTCCGGCCACCGCCTTCATTACTCCAACTAGGCACTGCCATGACGATCCTCGCCTCTCCATAATCTGGTAGAACTCTCCAGAAGAAGCTTTTCGACCGCATAATGCAGCAAATCTATGATGAGTCACCACCGTAGGTCCAGTGACTCACCGAAAAAGCTATCATTACAGTCGGTCATCAAGGCCTATATAAGATCGATCTTGCAAGAGAAACAGACACACAGCGAGAGAAATGAACACAAAATAGAGAGAACAAAAGACAGAGAGAAACTACCACAACGATCCACAACCAGTAGCAAAATCAAAGGAAAAGAGAGAAGAGAAAGCATACCCAACATCGTCTGAGTACCCACGCGCCTCCACGCGCCACCAAAGAGGGTGAAACGCCGAAGGTAAACAACCAGATCTAGGACGTTGAGTGGCTTTTTAGGGAAAACTAAGGTCAGATCTAGGTTAAGGGGGAAAATGAAAATTTTGATATAGTTTGGTGTTTTCCAGCCACCGTGGGTGGTGGCCGACGACAGCGGTGATCAGTTGCACATGGTGGCCAGCCGGTGGTCGACCGCACTCCAATGAGGTAGTTTAGAGAGGAGGGAGAGCTTCTCTCTCCTTTGAGAGATAAGCAAAACGAGATAAATAGGAGAGATGGCCTCAAAGGGCCGGTTTTGGGCCATTTATACCCTCTCCCGAACGACGTCATTTTGGGGAGGGTATTTTTGTAATTTTAGTATGGGTAAACTACACGCGCGATCCTTCCAGCTTTTGTAATCATTCCATTTTGGTCCCGAAATCTGGTTTTTCGTATTTTAATTTTGTTTTCATATTTTATATATTTTTATTTTAGTCATTATTACATATATATATATATATATTTAGGTTAATTATGCATTTAGTCCATAATATTAGTAAATTATATTTAATCCCTTATTAGTAAATTAGGGTAAATTGCATTATTAATACATATTATAGTATTATTTCGAACTGAGATAATTAATTTCAATATTATATGTTTTAAATATAAATTATTATATGATTAATTATTATTAGTATTTTAGGTTTATTATTAAACATAATAAATAATTTTATAATATAATTTTTATATTAAATGCTATAATAAGACTATTAATATTTATATTAAATATTATTTAGTATTTATATAATTTGTAAATTATTTTAAATACAAATCTATCATTTACTGTAAAGACATTTAATTAATAAATATCAGTACTAATTTTGGGCGTTGTGGGAATGCTAATTCTTTTCCATACGTAACCGACTCCCGAACTCATTTTTCTGGTAAGCAGACCCGAGTTATATTATTTTAATATTATTCTTATGAATTTTTATTAAAATAATATGACATTTTGGTGACCAATCTCACCGAATAAATATTGGTAGTGACTCTACAATTTGGTGTTTTATATGATTCATGGAGGATAAGTCCTTACTTTTCGAGACTAGTTACACTGTCTGAGGTGTACTATTTGCACTCTCCGTCACCAGGGCAGAGAAACATCTCGACATGTTCTAAAGGGGTTTTGGGATCGAATTTAGCGTCGGTTGAGTTTCCCAACCACTGCAGATAGTGGTCGGAGGAAGGAGGAGCCACTGATACACGGTGGTCGGGCTCTGGTTTTTCGGTTATGAATTCTTGATCGAGAAAGTAGAAATAGAGAAACCTAGGAGAGTTTTCCCAAAGGTAAAGACTCTTTTGCCTAAAACGGTAAAAGGAACGTATATATATAGCTTCTATTTTGGTATATTCACGTATAGGTCACCCACTTCTAGCTTTTGTTTATAAAACAGTCCCCTGTTTTCTTTGATTTCGTGGACTAATTAAAATATGTATACCCTTATACTGTGGTTTTTCTTTTTTTGCGTTAGCTTTAAAGAAGAGGAAATATTGCTTTGAAAACCCTAAAACTTACCCGTGTTTTGTAAGGTGGTCATATGTTTAGCTTGTTTTGTTATTACTTCCAGTTAGTGTATTAAACATGTTATTTTTCCTTTTATGTTTTGGTTTGTTATTACTTCCAGTTAGGTTAGGGTATTAAACATGTTATTTTTCCTTATATTTTTGTCATTAGTTGCTTTGATTAAAAAGGAATAAATTGTTTTCAGGTCCTTCTAGATTAGTCTTTCATGTATCTTAGTCACTGTATCATTTGTTTTGTGTTAATTTATTCTAACTCTGGTTATTTATTTATTTATTTCAATTTAGCCACTACCATGCCATGTTTAGTTCGATTCAAATCTTTTTAGTTTATTGCTTTTTAATCCCAACATTATAATAATTTTAAGCTTAGATTCCTCTTAGCTTAGTCCTTAATTAGTATATTAACATTAGATCTAATTCTTAGATTTAATCTCCTTTTAGATTTAGTCCCTAAACTTTAAACCTATTTGAAATTATTCCTCGAACTTTCTTTAATCTAGGGAATATTCTATTTGGCCCTCGCTTTAATGCTCAAGGGATCATTTCGATTATTTGAATCAATAATTAGTTAAAGTGAATTAGGATTAATCATAGAGCCTCCATTTTAGGCTTAATTTTCACTTTAGTCCTTAAATCTAGGAAATACTTTGATTTGGCCTTCGCCTTAATGCCCGAGGGTCCATTTCGATTATTTGAATTAATAATTGGTTAAAAATCAATTAGGATTAATATTAGAGCCTCCACCTTAGGCTTAATTTCACTTTAGTCCTTTAATTTAGGGAATAATTTGACTTCGCCCTCGCCTTAATGCCCGAGGGTCCATTTCGATTACTCGAATCAATAATTGGTTAAAATAAAATAGGGTTAATATTAGAGCCTACATTTCTAGGTTTAGTCCTCTAGGTTCTTTAAATTTCATAATTTGATAACTTAAGTTAGAGCAAGCCTTAATTAATCACTTAGTAAAATTAGGTTAAATAAATTGACTGTTTGATTGCATTCCGATTTTAAAACTAAGGCAATGTTCATTTATTCAGGAGTTAACAGTGTATCTTCTGTATAAATGCTCGGGTGACCACTGTTAATTCTTGAAGTAAATGGACATCCTTTTCAAAACCACGCATCATGATTTCAAAACCACGCATCATGATTTCAAAACCACACATCATGATTTCAAAACCATCGAGTCAATGTTGGGATCGATAACGAAGCTTTCGCATAAATGCCCAAGGGTGGTCGTTATTGGTCTTGGTAAACTGACATCCTCTTCAATACTTGCATACATAGTGGATTTTAAATTAAATAAAATCTCAAACTTAAAACTTTCTATTTTTATGTATAGGGTAATCGACTATGTATCAATTTATGGGCGTTGTGGGGGTGCTAATCTTTCCTTACACGTAACTGACTTCCAAACTCAATTTCTGGTTTTCGTAGACAAAACTTGGTATTTTTTATAAATGGAATGTTTTTAAAATTATTCGATTTTAGGTGTTCCAACCGCAAATTATTGGGGCGACTTCTAATATTTTATAAAACATTTTCAAAGAAACACCTTATTTTTAGTCGTACTATTTTTTCTCCGCACAGACGAAAAATGGTTGCAACAAGTGTTAAAATTATTGACGAAATTAAATATGTATATTTATTTTTGTTTTAATTAACATTCACTGGTGCATATTATAATTCAATTATTAATATAATTTACATACTGTAAAATTTGATAGGCTTTTTTTTTTTTTGAAAAAGGTAAATAAAACTAATAATGTAAAGTAAAATGCAGCTTCACAGTAGTGAGCTTCAATCTCTAGTCGATTTATTTGATCGATTTTATTTAATATTTAATATTTTTTCAAATAATCGAATGCAAGATTTTAAGAAGATTAATTAAAAATTATTTAATATTTACTGTAATCGAAATATTATATATTTATATTATATAATAAGCTTTATTATTGGAAATATTAATTAAAATATTAATATATTCATATCATATATTCGGATATCCGATCTAAAAATTTGAATATTAAATTATTTCGGATCGGATTTAAATCATTATTTTAGTTATCCGAAATTTAGGATATATAAATTTTCAGATCGAATCGAATCCGATATCCGAAATTGCATATGGATACTCATATCCGTTGCTGGTTGATCAAGGAAATTAGGCTGTTATGAAGATTGTTAGGCAGTCTATTGCATGGCTCACTCTAACAGCATTAGTTGTAGTGATTTGTATATATTAGTGCATGGAGTTTTTCTAAGGAGAACAGAAAATAATAAATATCATTTCTTCTTCACTGAGTTCTTAATATATGTATATATAGAGCATGTAACTACCAAGTAAAATTTGATCATCACCCTGGCTAGTTAGTGGAGAAAGTGGTGCAAGACTGAGGAAGATGTAGTGAACTCGGAAGACCAGGGACCCCATTGGAGGAACTGTTATTATTATTCCCACCACTGTTGCTCAGAGTCGGTGGCGTTCCTCCCATGATTGTTGAAATAGCGGCAGCTAATGAGGCGGTGAAATTCGGATCAGAAGCGATGGCAGCCGTGACAGTTTCGACCATGGAAGCACTACGTTCTTGCTCCATCAGCATTCCCGGCAATGCAGATAGCTTGTTGGGAGCCAACATAGGGTAATCATGCAGAGGTAATAGAAATGTAGGCGTGGAAGGCGGCGGACGTATGTACGGAACGGGTTTTGGGCCCTGAGTTAAGTCGAGGGTTACGGTGGGGAATGGCGGGGAAGCAGATAGTGCTGCCATTGTGGATGCGTAGGGTAAAGAGTTAAAGTTGCCAGAACTAGTTGGTATTACTCCATTGTCCTTGCTAGTGGTTGAACCCGATAGCAACATGGCTGCCGCCGCTGAGGTTGTTTTAGCCATTGCGGTGGCCGCCGGTGGTAAAGGGTGATTATGGTTTCCTTCGTATGTTGTTATTAGAATGCTTCTGTCCTCCGCACATCTTTGTACCTGTTTTCGAACTGGGCAGCCAACAGCCATGGTGCACCGGTAGTAGGCGCGTGGGCAAGGGTTACCTTTGGCCATCTTTTGACCATATTTCCTCCATTGACACCCATCACTTATCTGCACCACAAAAAATTGACTAACCATCCACCATTTCCAGCTATAATCTCTTTGAAAATCGTACGCAAATAAATGTAGCACTATTAGTTACCATGGGAGCCTCTGATCTTGACCTAACCGACACTCTGGCCTTCCTGAAAGGTACATCAGACACTAGCTCTTCGCTCTTTGACTGATCCACCATTGGACTTTTAGATGAACCGTGGGTTTGAGATGTTAGATCGATGCCGTCTTCAACGACGGAGACTCGTTTGCCTTGAATCTGAACCGTCCGATGGTCACCTTCCATCGACACGACTTCCATATTGTTGTTTTCCGGGGACGATTCTGACAATTCATGCCTTTTGTCGTCAGATGCCGACGTCTCCTTCATATCTAATGCTGCCGATAGTCGTGGGTCCATTAATTGTTGGACTAACATGCCATTTACTCCTCCATCCTTCAGCTGTTTAGAAACCGACCCTTTTGATTATGAACCTTAACTAATTGATGATATTTCATTAATGAGAAAAGAAAAATTTTGACACCCTTTTCAACGAATCTTCATACCTTTCTCTGATATATTATTTTATATATCTTCAATGAATTCGTCGATAACTTATACAAGATTCATGTGATTTGAAGGAAGAAAATTTAATGAAAAATTTATTAGAAATGATGCAGGAGGGTTTCCAAGGTGTTTTGGTCATAAAAGGAGCACATGGATAGGCAAGTTTTTATGAGATTTTGGTCATAAGATAAGGGTTCGCAAAGTTCAATTTTTAAATGTGAAGAACTGAGATCATAGCAATAAGATATTGAGGGAAAAATGTTACGGGATCAGGTGAGCACAGTTTCCGATCATCAAAAGCACGATAACCAAGTCTTTTTCATATTAAAAAATTTCTTAATTAGGGTTTAAATTTTAATGGATGTATAAAAAAACACTTTCTGAATAGTGACCTTGTAGTTCATTGTAGTTTCTTGTCATCTGATCGAACATGCTTGTCAGTCTCCGATTCTCTTCGTGTAACCTTTCCCAATACTCCATTAGAAAATTTACACCGACCGATCAAAAAAGCTAAAAGGAAAAATATCTGTGAAAACTATAACTTACTTCAGTGTTGGGTTTCTTTCCTGGCTTGAACTCAGAAAGATTTAATCCAGTCCTGGAAAAAAATTACTATTAATTTCCGTAACACCAAAACTAATGGGTTCAAAGAAAAGGAGAGAAAAAGACTTCGGATAGTACTTCAAAACCTTACTTTTACACAAAGAAGAAGACGATGAACCCTTATTATCATGTGATTGTTATCATAGAAAAGAAATCCATTTCCTTGATGTGGCTCAACATGATCGCTGGAATCATCGTGGATGGTTCGCTCGGAGCGGAGATCCGGCGGAGAAAGTCATCGGAGTTCAAGAAACGGCAGTTCTGAAGCTCGCTGCTTCTTCTCCATGATAAATTATAGAGAGAACTAAAAGGAAAAAGATCAGATAATAGAGAAAAGGGCTTTTTCGAGTTCTCTAGAAGAGACGAAAAGGATTTTTAAAGAGTAAGAGTGAAGACCAGCAGTTTTTTTTCGAAGGAGATATATGACGTAACAGTTGATGCAGAGGGCAACGTGGCGAATTCTGGGTGAGGTAGGACGGAGATAGCAGTGAAATGGTGGGACGAAAAATCAAGAAACGGGATGGCGTTAAAGATAACGGTGGGGGGATAGGATACGGAGTCTATGTGGGACAACGTCGTCCTGAGGTCAATGTAGTTGACGGCATGGATCTAACTGAATCTGACGGTTGTTAGGGATCTTAAAAAATTGGGTGTGGACCAGCTAGGTGAGAACCTAATCCCAGTGACTTATGAAACCAGCCAGGCCTAGGGTTTGTTCAAATTAATTATTATATTTTTTAGATAATAGAATTTGAAATAAAATCTAAAATGATTTTTTTAGTTATTATTTTTATTTTATATAGAATCACATTAAATTAAACATAAAAATATATAATTTTAAATTACAAAATATAAATACACAATAAAATTTTAAACTATAAAAATCAATATCTCCTATATATAATATATATAATATATATATATATATATAAAATAAAATATAAACCATGCCCTCACGTCCCTCTTTTTATGCGACTTGCGTCATTTTTTTGGGATTGGTCCACGACTTTTCCAAGGTTTTGTAAAGATCCCCTCCTCGGTTTCATTGAAAGTTTAATTAAAATTAAAATAATTACGTATTAAGTATATATACTATTAATTTTAGTCTGTTTTAATATTTAAATTTTTAATTTTGAATTATAGCTAATGTATAGTTTTCGTTTTATTTTAATACTTTATCGTTGAAAACTTAACGCGTTTAATACCTAAACTATCAGTATTGGTTCGTTTAAGTACCTACACTTTTTTTAATACTTTATCGTTGAAAACTTAACGCGTTTAATACCTAAACTATCAGTATTGGTTCGTTTAAGTACCTACACTTTCAATTTTTTCAAAAATAATACTTTATCGTTGAAAACTTAACGCGTTTAATACCTAAACTATCAGTATTGGTTCGTTTAAGTACCTACACTTTCAATTTTTTCAAAAATTAATGTTAAATTTCAAATGGGATACTAAAACGGAAAAAAACTTAAAGTTTTTAACTACTGTGTATTAAAATGAAATAAAAAATTAAAATTTAGGTATGGTTTTTGAAAAAATTTAAAGTTTACATACTAAAATAGACCAAAATTGATAGTTTAGGTACTAAATGCAAAGTTGCCCTTAAAATTATGGTTAAATTATACATTTAGTACTTAAATTTTAATTTTTTCAAAATTATATCTAAAGTTTAGTTTTATTTTATTTTAGTGCCCGTTCAAATTTAACGTAGATTTGAGGGGAAAATGAAGTTTAGGTAGTAAAACGAACCAAAACTAATAGTCTAGGTAATAAAATCGTGAAGTTTTTAACGAAAGGGTGCTAAACTAAAAACAAAAACTAAACGTGAGGTATGGTTTTAAAAAATTGAAAGTTTAGGTACTAAAACAGAACTAATAGTTTAGGTACACAATTTGTAGTTTACCTTAATATTATCAATATTAAATTTTTTAATAATTATAAAATATTTACTATTTTATGAATTATTTTAAAATATTATTAAATTTATCAATTTTTTATAATTATAACATCACAATGATGTTTTTATAACATATCAATAATTCATTATAACATCGTAATAATCATTTTACGACTTTTAAAAAGTAAGTAACCAAGTACGAACCAACTTATTTCAGTGTACGAACCAACTTATTTCAGTGGAAGGATCGTTGTTGTTTCAAGAGATCACGAGTTTTTAGTACAGCAACTGCAGCAGGGTGATTGAAAGTTCATTGTCAAATAGTTGAGAGTATTTAAACATATATTACTTTGTAATCATCTTAGCTTAATTAAAAAAACTAAAATTATTATTTAAGCACGGTTCACTAACCTTTAGTGAAATTTACCCTTAAAATAATAGTACATTAATCAAGTCATTTTGTATATGTAAACGTTAAGTATAATATAGTAAATATTGGATAAATTATAAACATATGTATGCCTATCGTATTGAAATTTACATTTATGGGTTAAAAAATAAATCATATTAATAATTGTAGGATAATTTTTTTATCACGCGTTTATAATTTAATCCTATATTCTAAATATGCTTTGCTTAGATTTAAGCCGACTCTATTAAACAAAATTGAATTTGGTTGAATTGGAATTATTGCCCTAATTATGCTTTGAATGTCAAAATTGAAGTGTAGAACATAATCATATTTTGATCAGCAGAAATGTTGACTTTACTTAATCACAACACTTAAGTTGATTTCAATGGAAGACCGAATCATTATTTTAATTCAAATATACAATTACAGTAATTAATCATTACATTAAACAATCAAATAAAATTATATTCAATTTAAAAAGAATTCACATGTAATAATATACGAACTTAAAACCTGAACGTTTCTAATATCTTAATCTTACCTTTAAACGAAAACCTTACTAACAAAACTTGGAAATGCTATGATAAGACTGTGAGAAATCAATCTTCCACACAATTATTTTCAGTGTACCTGGTACCAAAAAAAATTGAATTGACTTTGGCTGATGTAAGTGTATACAAAGTGATCTAGTTGATTGACTAAATGTTATATTAATCTACATTAATTGACCCTATATTTTTAAACACTTTTTTGAAAATGGATGGTCCAAGTTTTGCATTCATTACAAATGAATGCGCAATTTAATTTCTCAATTTTTTTTTAATTTCATATATGATATATTTAGGACGATAATTTAATTCGATTTCAACCGATTTGATATGATTCATTTGATATGGTTAACTTTTTTTTAAAAATAGAGTATTATAAAGGGTGAGATCAAGTCAGGTTTTAAGTGAAAAATTGTGACTCGATCTTAGATAGTGGTATAATTGTATTCTATATATTTATGGATAATTACTATAATATATCTATATCTTTTTTTCTTCAATTAAGTTCTTATTTTATTGAATAAAAATTATTATATATATTTATATTTGATTGGTCAAATACAGACTTGTATACTAAAGCTTGTTTTTAAATAACAAGTTAAATAATCTTTTTAAACTCAAGTCGAGTTCAAATAGAGAAAGTATACTTCTCGAATTAAATATGATTGATTAAACACTTAATTCAATCATATCCATTATCATTATATATATTGGGGTATTTGGCAAACAACTAATAGCTGATAGTTGGTAGATGATTCCAGTAGTTGGTTTGACCAACTGATTTGATTAGATAATTTGAGAATTGATTTGATTAATTGTTTATATAGAAATGTTTGGTAAAATTTATCTGATAGTTGATAGCTGATATGGATAAAATGACAAATAATATAATATATTTAGTTGTTAAGTACATATATGTTTTATAACACAATAGTCTTCATTGGGGTGAATTATTCAAATAAAATGCTTTGACAATGAATTAAAAATTCCTTAAGAAAATTAGTGAATATTTAAAAAATTGAATATATTTTTTAAATTTAATATTTACAAATATTAACCTTTTGAGATTGATACATATTATTAACTTTGTTTTACTTTCATGTTTTGCTATATTTTCTTAAATAAAATATATTTTAGAATCTACAACTAAAAAATAGAATAATAAATAAAATTTTAGCTTAAATATATTAGGAGGAAGGCTATTTTTTATATTAAGTTTTATGGTAAGATGTAATTATAGGGAAAAAATAAGGTCAAATATGTCATTTAAAATCTTATTTTACAATCAGCTCTTCCAAATCGCTGAATTTTCTAGCGTTTTCATTTTCAACTTATTTTGCACAATAAACTCTTTCAAAAAGGTGTTTACCAAATACTAAAATAGAGGGTTAACTATTAATCATCTATTTATGCTCAATGAGCTATATATATATATATATATATATATATATATATATATATATTTATATATATATATATATATGGATTGACGTGATAACTAGTTTAATTTAAAAAGATCTATTTGTTTTGATTAATTTATTTTTTTCTTCGTGGAATTAAATCGACCAAATATTTATAAATTTAAAGATCCAAGTTCAAAGTCCCCCAATTTGATAATAACTGCACAGCCACTTTGGGATGGACCTAAGAGAGGATCAACAATCGCTCATCTAAAATTTAAAATTATTATATTTTTAGTTGATATATATTTTTATTGAAAATATATTCTTGTCCCATAGTTTTTTACAAGTTTAAGTTATCTCCCCCTAAAATTTCATAAATTCAAATTATCCTTCTAATATATAATCTTGTTTTCGTCCCTCCCATCAGCCCCGCTCCCCACGGCGTTTACTTCTTCTCTTTATAGTCCAACGAAAGCCCTAAAAAGAGAGAGAGAGAGAGATCGTGCTTCCCGTGTACACTAGCTTGGCTTTTATTGGTTGCCATCCATCACTCGCGTTGACGTTTCCTTGTAAAGTTAAGTAGTAACATGCCAAAACCGTAAACTCACTCTTAGTGCAAGTATTCCATCTACTTCCCCCCAAAATCCTACCCTAAATTCATGACTCGTATTGACACCCTTCTAACGTGTTTTTCATAAAGATTTGAGCGTGAACAGTTATGTTTATAAGTTATATGTACATTGTTAATGAATTAAGAAAAAAATGAATAAATATTATCTTATAATCACTCAAATTATGAAAAAAATATATATTATATAGAAACACAATATAATTCAGCTCAATCTATTTTATAATTACTTCGTAAGACATAAAAATATCAATTGATATATCATTTTTATCTCGATTAATGTCGTCGTATTTTTATCCGTGTAAAACTTATCCTAAATCATGAAAGCTGAAGAAGAAATGCCTTTCCAATTTAGCTATTGTTGTCGTTTTCATAATGCAAATGGGAGCTGACTGATTTTATGATATCCCAAAAGTTACGCCGGGACCGAATTTGTAATGAAATTATGTAGCCAATCAAATGTACCAGTTTTTCTCCTTATTAACTTTGAAAGGGAGCAATTTTCGAAAGATAGAATGATAAATGCTGACTATAAAGACATGAAAGGCAAGGCTAGGCTATATAGTTATTAAATTTTTAAATATTTTTAAATTGTTATTAATTTATTCAACTCTTAAAATGATGATTCTAGCATTGTAATAAATATAAAATTTTAATGAATTTAATGATTATTTTGTAATAGTTAAAAAAAGGGTAAAGTACACAAATGGTCCCTTGACTATATGATACTACTTTATTAAGTCCATCAATTATTAAAATGGTCACCCAATTATTCATTATGTTCCAAAGTCATTATTTTCCGTTAACAAATTTGTGGTTGTCTAACCTAAACGTTAGCATGATGATTGATATATGATAGTCATTTGAGATTTTGGGATCATATTTTATTATATCACAGTCAGTAAGTTAGCGTTCAGCTCAAAATATCATCAATTTTTTAACAAAAGATAACGAGTTTGGAACATAATACATAGTTAGGTGACTATTTTGTAACTTTTAATAGTTGATGAAATTATTAAAGCAACACTATATAGTCGAGGGACTTAATAAAACATATTATATAGTCGAGATACTTAATAAAGCAACACTATATCGAGGGACCATTTGTATACTTTAACCTAGAAAAAATTGGTTAGTTTAATAAATTTATTTATTAATTTATAACTTTCGATAATTAATTGATCAAACCGATCATTTGAAATAAATTTATTTTATAAATGATTGAAAGCTTTAAATTCAATCTTCTGTATTGATTCATTTAATATCCAAAAATGATAACTAGATTAATGAAAGAAAAAAACCCGATGGAATTAATATTTTGATATAATATTAATGAAAAAGGGAAACATCAGTTGGATTGGAAGATATAAGGGCTTTTAATGCGGTGCAAGTCATGTAGGTAGGGGTGTTAAAAAAAATACCAATTCAGACGATCTAATCTGTTAACTTGTCAACCAGATCTAAAATTAGAGTACTTATAGTGAGCCGCTATTTTTGATGGGTTTCCGAGTCTACCCGGCTCATAAAATAATACTTAACTGGATACTTTTTGGTCTTCAAGCCATTCCAAAAGCCATAGTATTGGGTAAGGATGCGCATGAGACATGAACTTGACGGGTTTTGACTCAACCCGACTGGTTCATTTTAAAAAAAAATTAAGTTTGGGTCGGATTTTTTAAATATGATGTTCGGGTAGGGTTGGATTCAGGTTTAGGGTGAGAAATACCCGACCCGATCTGACCCGAAAAAAATATAATTTTATCTTATATATTTAGGAATAATTATAATAATACCCCTCTATATATTATTTTTTTCAATTAAGCAACTTTTTTTATTGATTAAAAATAATATTTTATTATTATTTCGGGTTGGGTCAGGTCGGATTTTTAAGTTATATATCAGTTCGGATTTGGGTCGGGTGAAATCTTGTTTTGGTTGGATTGGATTGGGTCGATGATTCCTTTATCTCGGGTCGGGTCGGGTGAACCCAAAACCCGACCCATGCCCATCCCTAATATTGAGCAAGGGAAGAAAGAGATTTTAATACAAGCAATAAATCCAGACAGATGGGCTGTTTTTAGAAACAGTGATAAAATATGGTCTAACAAGAGACTGATTTTTTACTGGTCCACAAAAAATAGGCAATTTAACTCCCACGCTACTCCATTCGGACATTTATTCAAACAACTTGTGTGTTCTTTTTCGTGTGGGATACGGATTGGCATTTAGATAACAATAATGTAAATTGTGTCTTACATTTTTCGAAACAGGACAATTTTTTTGCCCTAAAAGTCTAACCCCATGACTGGATGATCGATAGGGTTGCAAATGTGATAAGACAGTGAGCTACTCGAATGAACTCGATTCGAAAAACTCGCAAATAACTCGAAGAAAATAAGGTTTTTATGTACTTAAGGTTTATGTTCGAGTTTGAGCTTCAACCGAGTTAAGATTTTATTTTATTTCAAACTTTTTCGAACTTCAATTCATGGTTTCGAGTTCGAGTTGGGCTTAAAAATTTTAGACTCGTGAACTTTCGAGTTGAGTCGAGCTCCATTTTAAAGTTTTTGAATTGAGTCGAGCTCAACTCGACTCGTTTACAACCCTAATTATTGGTATTCGAGGATTAAGATTTTTATTTCGGGCCCTATTGGTTGCAGGGTAAGTGGTTCCAGCTCCGATAAATGAACTTTGAATATGTCATTTGAGTTTTGTATGAATTTATTGAGTGTTCTTGGTGATAAAAAGAAATAATACTTTTAGAGTACTCAATTTTCAATAATTATGTATGTAAATTGTGTGTACTTTAAAAAAATAAGAAAAATTCTGGACGGATATTATCTTTTAATCATATCAAACTAATAAAAAAATTTAATTTGTGCGATATTATTTAGGTCCAACTAATTATCATACTTCTGTATAATAACAAGGAATAATTAAATCGATAAATCCCTGGTATTAATTCAATAGATTGTTTCAAATACAAGAGGATGATTTGGATTAATTTTTAAGCTAGAATCCCCTTACCTATATCCTAGTTCCACAATTACTGCATATTTTGTTGACAATCGAAATGAATAGTAATTATTCAGTACAAGGGACGATATCTGAATTGGAGTTCATAATATGTGTATAAAATGTTCAATTGCTTGATACGCAAACCACAGCATGGATGCTTCCTGGAGCAACTCCCAGTACTGTCAGAACAACATTTGCCCAGAATCGGCCCTGTAACTGTAACTCAAACACAAATCAAAGTGGATAATCAGATGTTAATTACTCCACCTATTTCCATAAAGTAATCGATGATTTGGGAAATGTTAAGGGGGAGAGAGTGACTGACCGAGCAGCCTTCCTTTTTATAAATCCCAGCAGGAGGCACGAAGATAGCCAGTAAAATATCAAGACAGCCAGCTTTCTTTTTCTCTTCCTGCCCGCTTGTAGTTTTGCAGCTAAAGCACCCACATTTGAGGCAGATGCACATGGTGATCGGCGTATCAAATCGAATAGTTGTTTTGCTTTGGTTCGAAGATGGAGCTTACAGCTTACTGCCACTTACCTTTTATAGAGCCAACGCCAAGATGCTGTGGAAACAAACATAATCACTGTTTTCAAAGAGAACCAAATGGGTGAGTGGTTTGCAGTACTTGACGATATCGACGTCTCATTGTCAGTGGAATTAGTTCAGTGGGTGAGATTTGCAAGCTGATTTCACCATGCCTGGTTAAGCAACCAAGCTCGATCCTTTTCTTTTTTTATCGGATGCTCGATTCTCTTCGTGGTTGGGGCAAGCATATGCTTTCCAGAAAATCACGTGCACGTGAAAATGGATAAGTCTGTATCGGAAAAACATTATCCTACTGCTTATGGATCATATCAATGGTATAAAGCTTGGATTAGTTATTCAATTTAATTCTTGTAGTGATTAATTCTGATAAATAGGAGTTATTTAAGATGCTCTGACAAAGAATAGATTGCTTTTCATCCCCACCACAGACAGCAAATTGAACAGCAACGTGCTTGAGAAAGTGAGGAGTTCAGGAATTGGATCCTGTCACTTGGTGGTAAGCTGACATTTGGAACTATTTTCGCTGAATAAAATTACATATATGGGGCGACTGCGTTGTTTATAGGCCTATAAACGAACGAAACGAACATGAACGGGGTATGTTTATGTTAGTTCATTTAACTTTAACCGAACAAATGAACGAACATGAACAAAAAATTTCTTGTTCGTGTTCATTTGTTAAGGAATGTAGCTTGTTCATGTTCATTCATTTAAATGATAAATGAACACAAATGAACGAAAATAAATGAAAGGATGTAAACGAACATAAATGAACACAATAAACAAACGTAAACGAACACAATAAACGAACGTAAACGAACACAAACTAATGAACATAAACTAACACAATAAATGAAGATAAACAAACGTAAACGAACATAAATGAAAATATATATTTTTCTTTCCTAACAATTTTAGGATTATATTTTATTTAATTATTTTGTGCTTTTTTATTTAAAATTAATTGAATTTTAAAATATTTATGGTTATCTGATTAGTGCTTAAATTATGCATTATTTTGTGATTAATTACTCCTTGATTAGCTATTTTAAGTTGCTAACTTGGTTCTTTTTGTTCATTTTCAATGCAGGAGAGTAGATTCCAAAAAATGTTACTAAAACTGATGAAATGTGTAATTTTTGATTTTCTGGAATTATGACTGGATTAATGGGCATAAATTGGGGCATGACTTCGCTAATGTGGCGTCCAGTCAGCAGATTACGTGGAACAGGAGTTTCAACCGCATTTTTCAAATTTAAATTAGGATTTTTTTTTAGTTTTAGGAATTTATCTTTCATAATTATCTTTTAGTTTGAATGTAATCTTTTAGGGTTATCTTTTAGTTTAAATGCAATCTTTTAGGGTTTTTGATGACTATACATACCCCACTAGGGTAAGTCTCAATTCATCATTGGGATCATTGAGATCATTCACTCTTGAATTATATTGTTTTTTTCTTTAGTTTTATAAAGTTTTACTTTTTCTTTAAAAGTTTTTTTTTATAAAAATGCTAAGTATGATTTCTATCATACTTAGCTAAGTTTTCCATAGCCAAAGGTTAAAGCGATGTCTCAATTCTGAATTGTGAGAATCGAAAAGTACCTCATACCCTCTCGGGTTAAATTCTCAATTTTCTGGAAACTAGATTGTCGGATGGTCTTTCTTAAAATCAGAGCGCTTTCACTTCAAAAATAGATTTTGACTTGGATGACGTTATGGTTTACCATTGGGATTATATAATCAATTGATTTGAATTCCCTTGAACACACTTAGCGAATGGTACGCTAAGGGAAATTGGGATCGAGTTCAACTTTCATAGAGGAATCATAATTCGAGTTGGGTTTTTCCAAGCGCTTTTAAGTTGTTTTGAGTTAACAATAGTCGAAGTTAATCCGAACAAGGATTGTGATTCCTAAAATAGATTTGGGAAAGTCAATCACCAAAGAGAAAAATGAGCTACAAGGATTTAACCTTGCAGACTCAAACCGGCATTTAACTTGATGAAAAATCCAATTCAATGATCGATTGGAATTTAAGGGACGTGAAAGCCTAAGGTTAATTTCATTATATTGGTTTTTGATTTTACTTTATTTGATTCTTTATCTTCCTTTGAATCATTATTTTCTTATTCAATTTCTCAACAAACCCCCATTTTTACTTTACTTGCATTTTTTCTCCAAGATCAGAGATCAAGAACAATCGTTTCAACATTTTTTTTAGTCCTTGTGGATCGACCCTTACTCTCTCTATACTATTATATTTATTTTTAATGAGATTAAGGATAAATTTATTTGACAGTGAAAATGACTCATTGTCAATTTGGCACCGTTGCCAGGGACTTCGACAAAAGTTACTGATTTAGTTTGTTTTTGATTTATGTCCAAGCAAAATCTCGAAGAGCTAGTCGATTTTGAACCTTATATCGAAGCGCTAGCCCAGAAACTACGTGGACTAACAATTCGAGAAAAAGGAAACAACAAGAAGTACAACGCCAAGAACAATCAGATCCAGATCCTGAAGCATCATCTAATGCCAATATCTACGAAGAAGAAATACCCGACGCCACTGCAAACTTCGAATTGCATTTCACGCCAATATCACCTGAATCGATGGACAATCGTACGATCCGAGAAGAAGCCGTAGATCCCGCGATCCAACACCCCCTTTGCATCGTCTTTCCTCAAGGAGAAACTCCATTTCAATAGAAGACAAGGCTCATTCATCTTTTTCCTACCTTCAACGATATTCTAATTGAAAATTTGCATAAACATTTGGTAGAATTCCACTTAGTTTGTTTAAGCATGAAACCACAGGGAGTTTCCGACGATCAAATTAAATTGAGAGCTTTTTCCATTTTCTTTATATGGTTTAGCTAAAGAATGGTTATTCTACTTACCTCCAAATTCAATAAATACATGGGCTGATTTAAATCGAATCTTTCTTGACATATTTTTCCCAGCAGCGAAGGCAAGCGAGTTGAGGGGAAGCAGTCTGGGAATTAAACAAAAAGATGAAGAGTCATTTTATGACTGTTGGGAAAGATTTAAGAAGCTTTGTGCAAGTTGTCTACAACACAAATTAACCGAGAAAACACTCATTCAATATTTCTATGAAGGCCTTTCTCCCATAGATATGAAAATGGTTGATGCTGCCAATGAAGGAGCTCTAGTCAACATGACACCGAACATAACAAGAGAGTTAATTTCAATGATGACGGCGAATTCACAACAATTTTCAAGTGAACCCAGCCGACGAGTTCACGAGATAAGTTCTATTTTACTTGAAACTAAAATTGACAAATTAACTGACGTAGTTAATTATCTTATTGTAGGAAAATTGTAACAGCGAGGCTATGTGAAATATACACGATACTAGATCATTCGACAGACTGCTGCCCCATGCTACAAGGAGATGCTAGCGCACAAGTAAATACAATGGACAACTTTCCAAGACCTCTCCAAAGGCCTTACAATCCATACGACAATGCTTCCAATCCAGGATGGAGAGATCATCTGAACTTGAGCCATGGACCAAATCCTAAACCAAATCAATCTTATTAATTGAGGAGAGATCATCTGAACTTGAGCCATGGACCAAATGCTAAACCAAATCAAGCTTATCAATTGAGGCCACCCCTACAACAACTTTATCAGTCACAGAAATCATCGTTTGAATCAATCGTCGAGCAGCTATCCCTTTCTCAGGAGAAATTTAAAATAGTACTAAAGCTCACTTTTAAGAGCTCAAGAAGAAAATGAGCCAACTGACTCAAACCGTGGGGATATTAGAGTCACAAGGGAGGCTATCATCACAAACTGAGCCGAATCCAAGATAGAATGTTAGCGCCATCACCCTCCGGAGTGGTACCGTAATTGCATCTGATATCTAAGAGAGAGGTGTTGCACAATCCCAAAAGAAAGAATAAGAGCCGAGATCTCAGATGGAAGAAGAAGCAGTTGACACAAACTCCAAAAGAAGAAGTAAAGTTGGTGCATAATCCCAAAGAAAAAAGAAGGATAAATCTCAAGTGGATTTCGTGCCATCTCCTTATGCAGTTCCGCCTCCCTTTCCTGAAAGATTCATAAAAAAGACAAGCAATCCAAGGAGAAAGAAATCTTGGATGTATTACGAAAAGTAGAAATAAATATTCCGCTTCTTGAAGTGATCTGAAAAGTACCGAGGTATGCCAGATACCTTAAAGATCTATACACTAATAAAAAGTGAATTACCATAAATAATAAGGTGAATTTAGGTGAGAACGTCTCAACAGTTTTCCAACGACTGCTTCCACTGAAGTATAAGGACCAAGGTATATTTTCAATACCTTGTAAAATTGGTGAGGTGAAGATCAAGCAAGTTATGTGCGATCTAGGTGCCTCTATCAATGTAATGCCTCTTTCCATCTATAATGTAATTTCCATCGAGCCTTTGAATGAGACAAGAGTTACACTTCAGCTCGCCAACAAATCAATTATCTATTCTGAAGGACTCATAGAAAATGTTCTAGTAGAGGTAAACGACTTAATTTTCTCTGCTGATTTTTATGTGATTGATATGGAAAATGTTCGTAGCAACATTGGTTCTGAAATCCTCCTCAGTCGTCCCTTTCCGAGGACAACAAATGCAAAAATTTACATCGAAGTGGTATTCTTACTATGGAGTTCGATGGTGAGATAGTAAAATTTGATGTTTATAAAGCAATGAGATGTGATAACATGCGTAGTATTAATTTTGTTGGCATTATTGAACTTGTTGATGATTTATATAGGAAATCTGTTGATAAAAAAAACGACATAAGAGAGTTGAAAAATATTCCAGTTGTTGATTCAGATTTGATCTTAACTCCTTTAAAAACTAAAGATTTACTTTCCCTTTTGCAGGCACCAAAAATTAAGTCAAAACCATCAAGGAATCGTTTGAAGAAATTAATTTTTTGTGAAAAAGATGTTTTGACAGCCGTTCTTTTCGACAATATTTTAAATATCCGAAGAAATCTTTATGAGAATTTTCAAATTTCTCATAAGAAATTTCTTAGTTGGAAAAAGCGAATGAAGTGGAAGTGTTTGTCACGTAACCTGTAGTCTGAACCAGGTCGTCGAGCTAACGACATTAAAAACAGCGCTTTAATGGGAGGTAACCCATTTTATTTTTTGTTTACTTAGTTTCTTTTTATTTATTTATTTTTATGGTTTATTTTTTTTTCTTTGAATTTTTAGGTACCCCTAATATTTCTGATCGAATATGATGCAGGTTACGATATTTTTAATCGAGCATGTAAAGCAATTTTTAAGCTTCAAAGGAGATCATCGTGAGATGCTTGTTAGCAAAACCCCTTGCCAGTGTGTGTTAGACTTCCTAATTTCCTTTTCCATCCACCTTTTGACCAAACAATTGTTTCCATCCTTTTCAATTTTCAACCCCCACAATCTGTTATATATATATATATATATATATATATATATATATATATATAACCCACAGTTTTTTTATTATTTACCCAAATCCCCCATTACATCATTCTCCTAAATTACCAAGTCAAAAACCCATATTTTATTATTTTACACAAACTCAAACCCCACCCAAACTTTACATTTTGAAGCCATCACAAACCCTTTTTTGTTTTTATTCTACACGCAAATAGTTGCACGACCTCAAGAATCAAACCAATAGTTGTGCTTTGTCGTCGTACCATTCCTCATCGTTCATCTGATCTTCACTATCTACCCGTACTCGACTCTTCTTCGTCCTTCACTCTCCACGTAGAACCTCCATGGTTCTATCAAGATATCAATAATCAAAATTACCTCTCGTTGGTTAACCGCAGACACCATTGCTCACTGCCGAATCAAAATTTTGATGTAATTTTGAGCTTACTTTTATTACCACATTTACGCTTTGGTTTTGCAGAAAAGTTTGGTATCGATCCGCACTCTGACGATTATCTTCCAAACCGCCACATCGTCTTTATTTGCTTTATGATCGATTGACATTAATCGGGGAGTATTTTCAACCTCTCTCTTTTGCATTTTACTTTTTTGTTCATATTGAGACAATATGATTTTAAGTGAGGGGTGGAATTAGAAATCAAGTTAACGCTTGCTTATGCTTTGTGATTGAAATTGAGTTATTTCTTGGTTAGAATTGTTGTTAATCTTGGTTGCCGGTTTATTGTTTGATTTAATTTCTTTGTGTTTATTTGTGAATTCAAGCATGTTCTTGTTAAATTTAGGATTCAAGATAGCATGGCATGATTAGTTTAGGTAAATTTTTCATGGCATTTCATGAATTCATTGATTGAATTGGATGCATGACTTAGTTTAATAAACCTTTCATGTGAGTTTTGAGCTTAATGAGCATATCTTTTATTCTTGCTCTTTGTTTCAATTGAGTGTGCCTAACTAATTGATTGCATTATAGAACTTGTAACTCGATGCTTGTTGAGACTACACATTTTGATTATGATGCTTTAATGTGATAGGGACATTAGGATTAAACCAAATTCTCTTCCCAAAAGAAATAGCCCACCCTTTTTATTTATTTTCCCCTTAGTGAGAGCTTATCCATTTCTTTGTTCACCAAATTTTTTTAAAACCGAGCATATTTTATTTGTTTTTCCCTCTCTTTTTTCCAGAACTACGTTGAGATTGTTTTGAGAAAAAAATTTGTTTGAAACAGTACAGAATTGAACAAAACAATCCATGGAATTACACTGTTTGAATGGAAGAAAAAATAATGCATTTTGGTTCGAACAATACAAAAATTTAGTGCAGAAAAATTCAAACAGTGCAATTCTAATTCGAATGAGTAGAAAAAATCAGTGCAGAAAAAAAAGTTTGGTTCAAACAGCCAAAAATAATAATAAAAGAAAAAACAGAAACATTCGAAGAAAAAGAGAAAAAAACAAGAGAGTGAATAAAACTTTGGTGGATTTCTTGTTTTCACTTTCTTTAATTTTTTACTTCCCTTTGAATAACTTTTTGAAATAATCTCTACTTTGTCTTGAACTTTTGAATTTTTCACCTGATTTTCGGCCTTTATACTACTAGAACCTTAGACCTGTTACAACCTGTTTCAAATACCTCTTGATTATTACATCATTTTCATATTAAGTAGTGGAGAATAAATTTAGTTACAAGCTTATGGTAATATGTTGATTAATTTAGGCTTGAGCGATTCTTTCACCCGAAACACTTGAACGAAATGAGTGAACCAATGTGAGGAGCTAAGTCTTGTATTCTTTGAAATTGATGGATGATTGAAATGCCATGGTTGATTTACACTTAATTGATTGTGTCATGCTTGATTGATCTTGAATTTCAACATTTACTTGCTTTAGTTTGCTTAGAAATCTTGGAAATTCTACGAAATAGGAGTTGGAAACTTGAGGTTTTTTACATGACAATTGAGAAATTCTTGAGGACAATCATCGAATAAGTAAGGGGGAATTTGATTAGTGCTTAAATTATGCATTATTTTGTGATTAATTACTCCTTGATTAGTTATTTTAAGTTACTAACTTGGTCCTTTTCGTTCATTTTCAATGCATGAGAGTAGATTCCAAAAATGTTACTAGAACTGATGAAATGTGCAATTTTTGATTTTCTGGAATCATGCCTGGATTAATGGGCATGACTTCGCTTATGTGGCATCCAGTCAGTAGCTTCTAGAAGGTCAATTCAGCATATTACATGGAACATGAGACTCATCCACATTTTTCAAATTTAAATTAGTATTTATTTTTAATTTTAGGAATTTATCTTTCATAATTATCTTTTAGTTTGAATGTAATCTTTTAGGGTTTTTGATGGCTATAAATACCCCATTAGGGTAAGTCTCAATTCATCATTGGGATCATTGAGATCATTCACTCTTGAATTCTATTGTTTCTTTCTTTAGTTTTATAAAGTTTTACTTATTCTTTTATTTTTCTTTAAAAGTTTTCTTTTTTAATTCTAAGTATGATTTCTATCATACTTAGCTAAGTTTTTCATAGCCAAAGGCTAAAGTGATGTCTCGATTCTGAATTGTGAGAATCGAAAAGCACCTCATACCCTATCGAGTTAAATTCTCAATTTTCTAGAAACTAGATTAGCGGATAGTCTTTCTTAAAATCAAAACGTTTTCACTTCAAAAATAGATTTTGGCTTGGATGACGTTATGGTTTACCGTTGGGATTATAGAATCAATTGATCCGAATTCCCTTGAACACACTTAGCGAATGGTACACTAAGGGAAATTGGGATCGAGTTCGACTTTCATACAGGAAGCATAATTCGAGTCGGGTTTTTCCTAACACTTTTAAATTGTTTTGAGTTAACAATGATAGTCGAAGTTAATTCGAACAAGGATTGAAATTCCTAAAATATATTTGGGAAAGTCAATCACCAAAGAGGAAAATGAGATACAATGATTGAACCTTGCTGACTCAAACCGACATTTAGCTGGAGGAAAAATCTTATTCAATGATCGATTGGAATTTGAGGCACGCAAAAGCCTGAGGCTAATTTCATCATATTGGTTTTTAATTTTACTTTCTTTGATTCTTTATCTTCATTTGAATCATTATTTTCTTATTCAATTTCTCAACAAACCCCCTTTTTACTTGCATTTTTTTGCCTAGATCAGATATCAAGAACAATCGTTTCAGCATCTTCCTTAGTCCTTGTGGATCGACCCTTACTATCTCTATATTGTTATATTTATTTTTAATGAGATAAAGGATAAATTTATTTGTCAGTATCGGATTAAAATTTATTGGGCTTTAATATTTTAAATGGGTCTAGAGAGATTGAGCTAAACATAAATGAACTCACATAAACAAACATAAACGAACATAAACGAACGAACATAAATGAACATAACTGAACGAACATATTACCGAACGTTCATGAACGTAAATGAACGAACGAGCCCTGTGTTCGTGTTCGTTCATTTAATTAAACGAACACAAAATCTTGTTCATGTTCGTTCGTTTAAATAAATAAATGAACAGAAACAAACTTTCTGCCAAACGGTTCACGAATGGTACGTTGAACATTCGGTTCGTTTACCGTCCTAGTTGTTTAAAATTGATCCACCTACTAGTGCAGGTAATAGAAATCCTACATTCATGTTGTTCTTAGAGAAGGGTAGACTATTGTGAAAAATATAAGAAAACAAGTTTAACTCCATGTCTCCCACGGTTGGTTTAAACCATGAACCTATGTGCATTTACACTCTGACCTTATATAATGAGTTTTTTTTTGAAAAAAAATTGGACTCGGTCCAGGTCATGTTGCATTTTTAAGATAGAGTCAAGTCGAGTAGAATTTAAAGAGAAAATCTTTGATCATGAAATAAAAGTATAATTATCTATTTATATTTGGACATAATCGTAATAATATTCTTCTATTATAGTATTTTTCAATTAGATTTTTTTTATCGAATAAAAATAGATATATATATATATATATATATATATATGTCAGGTCAAGTGCGAATTTTTACCTAAAATCAAATCGGCTAATGCCTTCCTAAATTCAAGTGGATCAAATCAGTTTCGAATCAATCAAAACCTAATCCAATCTCATACATGCCCAATCTCAACGTGTTGTGATGCTTTTTTGTGGACAAAACTGTGAACCCAACGGATCAAAACGAGCAACGAGCTCCCTGTGTTCGATTGGTTTGTTGGGCCCATCTTTTCTTGAACCCGTGTGATGGTGCAATAGGAAAACAAAACGAAGCATCACGAGTCACGATCATGAATAATCATATCGATCCCCTCCGCCGCCCCCCCCCCCAAAAAAAAAAAATAATTACAGTTTTGTTACTCTATCAAAATTAGAATGAAAATTTACATTCCAAATCCTAAACATTCCCCCACCCTATATCTCTCTGCCTACCTATTCATCGTTCACTCCACAAAAAGGGAAAAGTAGGAAGATTTTTGCATCCTAAATTCAGCACTTGCTAATCTTCAATCTCCTCACAGTTGACAAGAACATCCTAAACATGTCATTACATTAACAGTTTCAGTTATCGAATAAATAAATCGAGTCTTAGTTTAATTCACATCGTAACGTTAAAAAAAAGAGATTTACTTACTCCCAGGACCATCATCCAATCACCTTCCTTGTCTTCATATGTAAGCACATGGTATTTGTCATAATGATCGCCATCAACCTCAGCTTCAGCCCCTGCAATAATAACAAAAGATATGATCATAAGAGAAAAACTACATTGTATTTTTCGTGAGAAAATCAGAAAAGTAAAAAATAAAGGAAGAAACTTTACAGATAATACTAGTGTTGAACATATGTTGAAGAGTCCTTATGAGGTCATAGTAATTATCATGAGCCAAAAGATCTAGCTTTCTCCCAATAGGAATCCCTTCCATGTAAACCTTAACAAAGAATGTCGCACAGTTACACTCATTTTCTTCTTCACCAAACACCTGCCTTAGCCTCACCTGCTCCCTGCCATCACAGTTCATTTTTTCACCACCATTAGCCCCAAACAAACGTAACCATTTCCAGATATAAAAGGAAACCAAGTAACCAACCTTTCATAAAGAGGAGCGGTTGAAATGCTAAGGCCGAGCCTAAGATCGGTGCCGAAATCCATGGAAGAAGCTGCACCGCCGGTGGTCGAGAAACCAAAGCGGTGGTTGCTGCTGCTCTCGAAAAACGATGACGGAGATGATCTGGCAGCCCTACCCATTTAATGAAGAAGAGTGAAGACAAATGAGGTAGCCGCCACTCGGGGTTTAAATAACCACAAAGATTGCGGGAGGAACACAAGGAGTAGTAATTTTTTGTTGGGAGAATCAATGCAATGGGGCAAGGCTTTCAAATAAATGGCTGTGCGGTTGGGCTGGGCAGCCGACAAGTACACGCGTCGTCCACCAAACCCAAGTTGTAATAATCACGGTGCTAACATTCTTTCTCGAAATTCGACTGTCTGGTTTTAATGTGCGCACTTCTATGTCTTGTGTTTGCCTGCTTGCCTTCGTCTTTTATAGCATGTATGAACAAAGTTTATTGTAATGATTTTATAAATTAATTTAATTAAAAATGTTTAAGGTAATCTTCATATATTGATTAGCCTTTTCACTGTGTATTAGAAGGTACGTGTGAAGAATTATTTCAATGTTATTACTTTTACTCAACTAAGACATGGTTTGTTTTATTTATTTTGAATGACGAGACATGATTTATTAATTGCATTTTGAGGGGAGGGCAGTGGTCAATTATGACACTAGAAACAGGGGTACAAAAGCATCGAAACTGTAGACATTAGGAAGAACATGTGAACTCGAAATTGCTGGCCGAAATCGATGTTCAATGGATAGAATTATCGTGTTGCGTAAAGTAACATAATTAAGGCTGCGTAATGATGATTTCGGGTTATGTGTGTATATATTAATTATATTAAGGAAAAATAAGAATAATAAAAACACAATTAATCATATATAAATTGCATTTAAATATATTCCTAATTGTTAATAATAAGATTAAATTACAAAAATATTCTTAAATTTGAATTTTACTATACAAAAAATTGCATTTAAATATATTTTGATTGTTAAATCGATTTTGACAAAATAAAAATGTATCGTGGTGAAATTAGAAGATCCCATCATGGAAATATGCGATCAAACTCAATTTGCAAACACAAGAAAAGAAAAGGTTGAATTGGATCTGGAAGGAAATCTTTGCCCACGTGTAGAAGGTAATTCTTTGTCTCACCTTAAAATAAATAAATAACACGATCGTTGATTATTTTTTTATCACTCGCCCACACAAGAAAGGGAATCCTTGCTTGCACCAAAAGAAACGCTATTTTTTTTTCCAAAGGAGAAGTGAAACAAACAAGAACAAAAGCAAAAGTTGATGTTCCCCATCACCCCCACCCATCACTTCTCATTTTCACAACCTATTAACCTCTTTTCTTTTAAACTTAACAATTATTATACAATTTTCTTTTAATTTATTAAATTCATAAATAATATTGAATATGTCTTTATATTCTAGCATGATTATATTTTGTACGTATTCAAGAGAAAAAAAATATAAAAATCTAACTTTAAATAAGAAGATATTAATGTCACCTAATCACTGGAATAGTGAAATTATTACTTAATTTTACATTTTAAAATTATTAAAAAATGTGTACATTAAGGAAAACCAAAACAAAGTTGTCATAATGAGGTGAATTATTTCATATTAGTTTAAAGTGAGGCATGGTATGTTCATCTAATTAGGTATATCATAAAATATTTAGATCATTGTACTTAGCAGCCAAAAGTATATATAAAATTGAATATATTTAAATCTAATTATCCAAATTTTGTAAACTACAATCAATAGAGAGAATATATTAATTCATTTAAAATATTATATAAAAAAATTATGATTTCATTTAATTATTGAATTTTGAAACATTTGATCTAGGGCTTAATGATCAGTTGAGCAACTTTAACTCGACTCGGTCAAAGTTCAGTAAAAACTCGAACTCGACTTGACTCGAACTCGACTCGAGATCTTAACGAGTTGAGTCAATCAAAGTCCAACTCGATTTAATAAGTTCATAACCAGCTCACTAATTTTTTTTATATATTTTTAGTAGTTATCTTAAAAAATTATTTCATACACTCAAAAATCAAATCTTTATTTTGGAGTTTAGACTTTAAAATTACTTCGTACACTCTTTTGATAAATTTGTTGGTTAAATTTATTAATTTATGTTTATATTAAGTTTTGTATAGTATTAGTAGATTTTACCTATAGATAATAAAATATGGTAAAAAAATTTTGTGAGCTTAGCGAACAACGAGAAGAGCAACGAGCTTAACGAGTAACGAGCTTAATGAGCAACGAGTCGAGCAACACGTTTTCTTAACTAGCATGAGTCAAGCAAAATTTTAACGAGCTTAACGAGCAACGAGTCGAGTCGAGCAATAATTTTTTTTAACGAGTACGAGTCGAGCACTATCCAACTCGCGATCAACTCGCTCGATAAGCACCCTAATTTGATGCAAAGAGGGTTGATTCTTAAAAGATATTTTGATCAGTATTTCGAGTAAACATATATTAGGGTTAACATCAGGGTTCCTACTGTCCAAAAAGTGGTTAACGTCTTTGGTGATGTAGCCTTTTATCTTTTTGCAGTTTCTACAACAATATCTTTTTACACATGTTTTAAGTAGATTCCATGGCCTGCATGTTTCGGCATGCCAACATCTTAACCCCAAATTTATGCTTACCGGTACTGCTTTACACAATTTCTTTAGGCTTTAGCATCCAACTAAAGCAGTAATCTTTGGGACTTTAGACTGTGAAGATAAAAGGAAATGTAATTAGAGATGGATCATCTTTTTGTCATCTCGAAATGGAAATTGAAGGTTCTATTTGATTTTAACTTGTCTTGATGATGTTTCAGTTCTCTCAAATTTATCTCAATTTTAAGATAAAATCTCATCACAAATTCGTTTCGATTTGAGTCAAATATTTTTAACGATGACATGGGACGGGACTAGCTGATTTTTTTGGCCGCCTTAACCTCGATCCGAAAATATATTCCCTAAACTTGACCCCGCATCGCCCCATAAATTTTAGATTTTCTTTTGCCCCGACCCCATCTCAAATTTTAGATTAAAACCTTGATCCCGACCCAACCCAATCCAAATATATTAATTATTTTAAAATAATTAAAATGATATATTCTATAATAATATATTATATAATTATTTATTATATTTTAAACTATTAAAATAATATTTTATAATAAATTTTATGTTTTTTAATAATTAAAGAATATATTTTAATAATATAAAAAAAAAAATCCCTATAATTTTAAATATATTATATAAAAAAAGATAAAATAATAATTTATACCAGATCGGGTCGGGTCGCTATTTTCACCTTAAACCTGGCCCCACCCCGCCCCGAAATTATATACCATATAACCCGTCCCGTACCGTCTCGATACCCGATTTTTTAAATGCCCTATAAAGTCAGGTCAAATCGGGACCCGTTGAGTTCGACTATTTCGACCATCTCTAAATATTTTTCTATTTTATTAAACAAGGTAAAGAGTTAATTGAAATATATGAATCAATTGCATCATATATCCTTCAGTTATGACCTTTATTTTAAATTGGTCCCTAAACTTTTAAACATTTTAATTACATCCCTAAACTATGACTATCATTCTAAATTAATTCTTAAACTTTTGGACATTTCATTTTTCATCCCCAAACTATGATTTTCATTCTAAATTGGTCCCCAAACTTTTTTGAACATCTCAATTTCATCCCAAATTATACATATATTCTGATCACATCTCTTGTTAATAAATTCGTTAGGCCAAGTTATATTATAATATGTTTTAAAAAATAAAATTTAGATTAAACTATTATTTAAACAAATTACATATTTGGATAAATTTAGGGATGAAATTGAAAGATTCATAAGTTTGTGGACTAATTTAGAATGAGATCTATATTTTGGGGAAAATTAGAATATTTAAAAGTTTAAGGACTAATTTAGAATTAGAGCCATAATTTGGAGATAAAATTGGAATGATAAAAAATTTAAAGACCAATTTGAAACAAGGGTCATAGTTTGAGTATATATATATAAAGAGAAGAGTATTATTGTAATTATCTTTAAATATATAAAATTTAAACACCATTTTTATCCCCAAATATTTATTATTATTTTTATTACAAAAAAGGAGGAAAGACAAAAATCAGAAGAAATGGGACAAAAATCCCTTAATATCCGGTGCCCATGCCCCGATTGTTCCTACTTTCACTATTGCCACCATCTCTACCTCAACTGTTGCCTTTGCAACCAACATGAAATCCATTGATGCACACCATCTCCATCATGGGTTATATAAGGCAAGCAAACAAATCAAGGGGGAAGCTTTTCATTTTTTTTCTTTTCTTCGTAATCACAAGAGGGGTTCTATAAAATCCTCTAAAAAACATGTAAATGGAGATTGTAACACCCTAAACTCGTATGACACACAGTCGACCAATTAGGATGCTACACGGAACCACCGAAGTGGCTGACGAACAAATTTCTTAATTTTCTTACTTTCTCTAACTTTAAAATGGCCATTTTAAGTAAAAACATACATAATAAAATATAATTTAAACTTTACATTGGGAAGCTCCCAAAATAATTATTTACATTCCAAAAATATACAAACCAACTTTAAATTGAATATACGACTTAACTTTACAATAGGGTTCATAAATATACATGCCCTTCAAAAACTTGAGACGTACTCTAATTTGCTCTTGGTTTGGACCTTGGTCGCTCTAAGGCTTCCACGAATGCGCTTCACCTAATAAACGTAAGGTAACAATTATTGTTTTATCACATATCACATGTACTTATAATTAACAATCTCATATCATATAACATACATTGTTTGAATATGTTCACAAGAATCATATATCATTAATCAAATCATACAACCATATATATATATATATATATATATTACGCATGTGTTTATAATGATTATCATGTATACAGGTTCATAACTACTCTGCTATGAATACTAACATAGGAATAGACTTGTCACAAGTCTTAATTCCTTTGAAATATATCTATAGTAAGCACTCACATTGGCCTCACTTAGTTTCCAATTCCACCTTTATGATTTCCTTATTTGGATCGAATCCTAATTCAGTAATCGTTCTGGAA